AGTCCTCCAGGGCAGCAGTGGTCTCATGTTGGCCATTGAACCCCACGTGAAGAGTTGTGGGCTATAATATGATTGTCCATAGGCAAACAGGTTTTAAAAAGAGGATATTACATATCTTAAGAATATTTCTCTTGCTGTGGCCTTTTGCCTTTCCCCTTTTGTGTTTATAGTTCATGGACTTTCTCTTTTTCAGTTTCTTTGTGCCTAGTTGCTATGCCATCTTAGCTGTATTTCCAGAGCGTCTCACTCCAGAAACCAAAAGACCCAACTCGTTTCCCATCTGTACTACTTCTCTGATCTTCCGTAGCTCCAAAACACAATGCAGGGCTTCTTCTCACTCACCTCTTTCCGGGTTTGTTCTGCAGCTGTGGAGTTTGAATGTTAGTGTTTAAACAAGCTGGTATTACACAGGAAATGGCCACCTCCACAGGCCCCTGCAGGCTTGTAACATGGGGTCATTGTACTTGATATTAATCACCAGTCAGCCTGTTCCCCCAGTAAAAATACGAAGGGGTGTGTGAGGCCTAGTCCTCCTTAGACTTGCCAGAAGGATGGCCTGAGCCCTGGTCGGGCCTTAGTACTCCATTCTCCAAACTGTCTTCCTCCTTCAGTCCCGTCCTCGGATGGAGTTTGCAGAAAAGTTCATTCTTGACCTCTTCCCTATAAAGCTGGCAGATCTGCCTTTCTTTCTGAGTTCTAGGAAAGAGATAGGTTGTTGTGGTATAACTTGCCTCGCATATCTCACACCTTAATCTTTCCGAGCATGACGTAGTTAAGTAACAGATCGTATGAGAAAACTCCAAAATGATAGAAACACAGAAACCCACTGGTCCACCTGAGATCAGGACTTCTCAGTTCCTTGGACTGAAGCTGCTTTTCTAATGCTGTTTGCAGAACTAACCCCAGCCTGAAGGTTTAAGCTGATTCCCCAAGTCAATATCCCCTCAAACAACCAGCCAACAGTGTGTATATTGGTGCATTTCTGTGAAATGTGTTTCCCTAGTCACCTGGGCTGGCCTGGGCTGCATTGTATCCGCCGGCAGCTGCACTGCACTCAAACTGACAGCTACATTAAACCTTGGAATTCTGAGGCAATAAAAAGTAAATTAACTCTTATTTTTTCCCTTTCCTGGTGGAGTAAGTGAATGCATGTCTGTGGGGAAGTGGGTGAGCCTTGGTCCTGAGTGCATACCTATAACTAGCCACTGCTGGTCTGTCCCAAGCTAGGACCTGGTGTTCAGACTCCAGCCAGAGGTCTGCTTTCCTGGTGTGTGGTGTGTTCTGTGGGGTTGGGCCACCGGGTCACCCTACCACTGCTGATCCCTGCCCACTAGTCACATCACAGCTGCATGAGAGGCTCCCTTGCCACCATTCTGAGAGCCATGAACAGACTCATTGGATGCAGTTTCATGTTCTCTGGCTGCCTTGTGTCTGTTTGGTGGGATTTTTTTGGACTCTGGGAGCTTTCCCAAAGTATGAGTTGGGACCACAACAAGCCAGAGGGACTTGCCCAAGCCTATAGCACCCTAGAGGGTCCATTTAGAACCAAAGTGGCTTGAGAATGTCTGAAAACTCTTGGGGAGTCATTTCCCAGGCATTTCTAGAAGATTGGGAGCTGTTTAAAGTTCCTCTCGGCCACCAGAATTCGACTTTGGGCTCCTTGGCCCAGGCCAACCTTGAATCCTTAGAATCCAAGGACTAGATTGGGGTGAAGGTTGGAAGGCACTCCCAGCTGGGGTGAGGACTAGAGCAGGAAAAGGCGAACTTTTCCCCTTCTCAGACAGGAAACCCTGTGTTCACCCATGGAACTGACCTCTCAGCCCAGAGGCCTGATTGGGGTAAGCTGAGGTGATGTTGCCCAGCTTCCAGGAATCGCCTCATACTTCTGCAAATATCTTAACTTCTGAGTTCAGACATCTCACCTAGTTTTTCAGAGTACCTCTTCCTTTTAGTATTAGTTTCCTGACACTCCCCTCTGCCCCACCCTCTGTGGGGGTCACCGTATGGTCCCTGGGTGTCCAGTCAGCTGTGTTCATGTTCGTGGTGCTCAGTGAGAGAGGAGAGAACTGATGATATGTGAAGTGATCGGGGGCCGTCCCACTGCAATACCAGAAGAAAGTGGCCACTCAGAATCACACACCAGTCTGACGGGATCAGGGCAGAAACGACCCTTCATCGGAGCATTTTGTGTATTCCCTTGGTTCTGCTCAGTCTAGCTTGGCCCTTGGGCCACTTTACATTTCTGAGTTGGGAACTCAGGATACTTCCTATGTCTTTTGGCATCAGCTGCTATCTTACAAATCAATACTAGGGTAGGAACACTCATCCGCTTCATTTTTGCAGTGAGTCTTAAGGTTTTGGCACAAGGTGGGTGGTAATGGGCAAAAGGCAGATGTGGGCAGGGGTCCCTAGTAGTGGCCAGCAGCCGCTGGGAGGAGTCAGTTTTGGTTTATCTGAGCCTTAGGGGACAGGGAGCATGGTAATGAGAACCACATGGTACCACATATTCCTTCGTCTTGGATCCAAGATGGTAGGGGTGGGAGGATGAGAGAGGGATGTGGGGCCTCCCATTGTGGCAGCCGTGGGTAATTTTCTGCTGCCTCTCCCCGGCTGGAGATGCTGCTGCCCTCACCCCCCACCCCCATCTACGTCCTGAAGCAGCCTTGACCTGCACAGCACCAACCGAGGCCCCCAAGCCAAGAATTCAGCTGGGAGACTTTTCACCTTCTTCCTTCTCACTGTCGTCTTTCCTGTTTATTTTCCAAATTGCTGCTCTGCAGCGGAGCAGTGCCTGTTGGCCAGAGCTCACCAGCGCTGTGGGAGCAGACTCAGGCAGTGGGCTCAAGTGGCCAGCAGGGCACTGGGGGAGGAAGCGGGGAGCTGGAAGAGCCTCCCTGTGCGTCTCCCATGGGCAGCGCTAACCTCGGAGGCGGCCCTGAGCAGCCCTATCACATCCGGTGCTTGTCTCTGCAGCCGGGACCGGAGGATAAACTATCAGAGCTGTGGGGCAGTGCATCATTCCTCTTATTATTTTCTTCTCTGCAGATGGGGTCGTGGAAAGTTCAGTTCCTTTTAACCCTCGAAGTTCTGTTTATTCTACAGCTGGTAGCCTGAATGCTGCGTTTCCCATTACATCACAAAGGGGCTCAGGCAGATCTCTGCACTAAAACGTGTTGCAACTGTTTATTTTTTTCCATATTTAAACATTTCTGACAGCCAAGCTCAGCCGGGCCAAAAGATGGAGCTTTGTGAATGAGCCTGGTTGTCGGTGTCTGTGCAGGGAGAGGCTTTAGAAAACTCGTGTCCCCTCCGGTGATGCTTCCCAAACATGTTCTTCTTCCTGGGCAAAGCCTGTGAGGCGAGTTACTTGTGCAGTACATGTGTGTTGATTATGTGCCGTCGTATGATTAATGGAGCTGTGTTCCGCCTGGTTCCCAGGACACTCTTGAAAACAAGATGTTTCATTTCATTGCCTTTTCCTAGTGCAGTGATTACAGTAAATAAACCAGGGCAGCCTCCTTCCACCTGGAGCCAGTCAAGGAGTCCCCACACCTCTGTCGCACTTTCACCCCCAGCATCACCTTCAGTGCCCTGTCCCTTGAATGCCCTCTTCTCTGCCATCTCCCAAAGGCTCCCAGTCTCCAGGAGAAACACATTGCTTGGGTCTGAGGCCCCTCCCTAGCAGATCTGGCTCATGCGCAGTAACTCCTCTGGGAAGATTCCAGGATGTGGCTCGCTCTCACAGCTCTCTTCGCTTCTTGCCTCTTGCCGCTCCACCTCTTGAGCGTAACTGTAAAGCTTTTCTTTGTTCTTCTATGCAGCTCACTCCTTCTAGAGTACAGCTTAGCATCCACAGGGCATTGCCTGTTCCAGAGTCCCTGGTTAAGGCCGTCTTCTGGAAAAGGGAGCCAAGTCTTGTACAGCCCAGGGCCTATGGATTTGGCAAGCCCTGGCTCTGACTGCAGTTTGGCTATTTGAGCTGCGTCCTGTGCAGACAAAAACGAAAGCTCTTCAGGATCGTTAGCACCCATCAAAGCAGGGATATGAACCACAGTAGATGTTTGACAAATGATGGTGACGGAGAAATGAACCTTCTTTTTCTCATTCTGCCCTGGAGTTTGAAATGAGGAGAGCTAGACTTTGGATTTTCAAGATGTGTTAGGTTCAACCAGGACTCGGTGATGTGCAATTAGGAATGAGCAGCCATCCCAGTTTGCCCAGGACTGAGGGGTTTCTGGTGACATGCGACTTTGGGTGCTAACATTGGGACAAATCCCAGGCAAACCAGAACAGCTGGTCACCCTATAGCTAACCTTCCACAGGTGAGGGAGAGGAGAGGGAGAGGGATGGCCAAGGCAGCACTGATACTGGTTTGTCGGCCGAAATGCATGGGAAGCCTTACCCTCCTGGGAAGATCTTGGCAGGCCAGGAATGTGGTTTTTGGTGGGTGTGTTTGATTGTTTTCCTACTTATATGTAGGAAGAGATTTCTAAAGCATTGTAGGGGACTGGGGTGGGAGGTAATAACCACATGACTCTTTGCCTGGTGTAACTGGCCCCTCTGGCTGTGTGGGAAGAGGGGAGATTGGCACTGTGTTGCTGTCTGTGTGGCATATACTTGGCTGGACAGGAGTAGGGGAATTCTGGGAGCTGCCTCAGGCACTGGTTGTCTTGAGTGTTTGAATAAGTGTCTCAGGCACACTGTCTGGAAAGGTGACAGGACCTGCATTAGGCAACTGATTCTCTTAAGTTCTTTTTCCTTTCTGGTTAGGATTAAAAACTCCCCCTAATCAATTTCAACTTTGCATAGATGGACACACACCCACCAGATTACTGCCACGGGCGCAATTTTGTATCCTAGCGTTTGGGGTTAGATTTCCTGACAGATGCCAGCCGCAGACAGCATAGTGCCACGAGTACCTCCCTGCCCGCAAGTGCTCAGAATACTTTAACTGGTCCCTCTTTAGAGCTGCTCTCCTTTTCTTACCATCTTTCTCACAGGGTTGCTGTGGATGTCTGGTCGATGCTGGCTGATTTCTGTAACATACTGACTGCAGTGAATCAGTCTGAGGTGCCACTGTACAAGGACCCGGACGATGACCTCACCCTCCTTATCCTGGAAGAGGATCGGCTTCTCTCGGGCTTTGTACCCTTGCTGGCTGCCCCTCAGGACCCCTGCTACGTGGAGAAAACCTCGGATAAGGTCAGCCCCAGGCCAAACATCCCTCCCCATTCACCCCTCCTCTTAATTCTCCAGACCTTTTTATTCTTGGGAAGTTTTCTGTGCAAACGGAACATGATTAAGTCATTGAGAAGGGTGTTAAGGGAAAATATCGACCTTTTAGCCGCTGACATCCAGCTCCGCGTCCTGAAAAAAAAAGCCCTCTCGACTTCCTTTGGTGTGTGTGTGCGCTCACTGGCATGTTGTATATACGATCATTTCCTCACTTGTTTAAATAGTGCAGCTTGTGTTGGCAGTGCTCTCACTCAGCTCCAAATGGTTTGCATCATGCTTAAAGCACCCTCCTTCCTCCCCCCTTTCATCCTTCCCCCCAGCCACAAAACTCTGCACTAGGAAAACAGCCAGGGCTTTTTCCCTTCTCTGAGGAGGAGAGTGATAAATAGGTGACTAGAGAGAAGCAGACACCATGTGTTAACTTACAAAAAAAGCTTTTAGGAGTATGAAGCATTCCCCGCTGCCTGGTTTCTATTTTTCTTCCTCCGAGGACTGTGTTTTAACCTGAACTTTTTCCTCGTCTGTCTGTTTATAGAAAACAAAGCCCATTGCCTGTTGCCCTGGTGGGGACTGTGGAGCTCGTAGTCTCTGCTTAACAGTTGGGTCTGTGGCCAGGTGTGGAGAGTAGAGCAGTCCATTCTGCTTCACGTTCCTGTGCAGCGGTTGCTGGGCTGGGGAAGTCGTGCCCACAGACCCTGGGAGCAGGGTCTCCTGTGCTGAGCAGGGGAACTCAGTGACTGACCCCTCTGTGGAGTTGTTAGCATCACATCCCCTAGGGGAGAGCCTTTTGGTGGAGAGTCCACAAGTGGCTTCGCAGAAGAAAGTCTTTTGACCTAGATGAAGTATGTATAGAAGTGTAGGTAGTTGTTTTTTGTTTTTTCTTATTTTTTTATTTTTTTGGCCATGTGGCATGTGGGATCTTAGTTCCCCAACCAGGGTTCAAACCTGCGCCCCCTGCATTGGAAGCGCAGCATCCCAACCACTGGACCACCAGGGAAGTCCCCTGTTTTTTGTTTTTTTTAATGTCAGATAGTAAAAACTAAATTCTGAGCATAAACTACAAATATGAGAGATTTTATGTTGAATATAAAATTTTTTTAACTCATTCTTAGTGAAAAAAGAATCTATGTTCCTTGTAGACAAGTAAAAAGAAGAAAAACGTATCCACAATCGTTCCACCAACTGGTAACACAACTGTTATTTTTGCTAATTATATACGATCATATTTAACTTATGGTATAAACACACACTTTTTTTTTAACAAAAAAACTGGGGGTCATATTATACATGTTATTTATAATTTGCTTTTTTCATGTAGTATCTTTTAATGTATTCTTATTTGGAATCATTTTTGATGATCACTTAGTATTCTTTTCTGTGCCAAGATTTCTTTAACCAGTCTTTGCTTTATTGAACCAAGGGACTGTCCTGAATTTTTGAACTACTATAAACAGGTGATTCCTTATAGCAGAATTTTTTTCATATATTCCCTATGGTTACATTTCTATATGTAGATAAAGGTTCTAGACATTGACATATCAAAAGCTCATACTCTTTGGGTACATTTAATGGCTAATATTGGGAATGTGAGAACCTTTGTCTCTCAAAAGGAGTACTCATTTTATGCTTTTCCAATGAAAAGTTGGAATAAAATCCTGCTCTTCTAGTCTCAGAAGGGAATAATAATGGGGAGTTGTAGTGTGTGAGGCAGAGGACAGCTAACGAAGTTCAGAATTTGTGGAAGATGTTCGGTTAGAAGAGTTGGAAGAGAAACTGGGTAGCCATGGCTTGGGCCAGGGGAATCCTAGTACATACTGTTTTTCTGTGATCACAGGGTGGTCTTGACACTGGAGGGTGCTTTTGGGAGTTGGTGAGTGGGTCAGCTGTCTTTCAGTGCAGAACAAGGAAGGAGTCCTGTCCAGCTTTCGACTTGCTCAGCCCTGTTTTCTCATCAGCTCTCCCAGCTTTAGTGTCAGCGTATGATACATGTGTATGGTACAGTATATGGTAGATACAATACGCGACCTGGCAAGAAGAACACAGAGCCGGTGATCCGTGCCCTCAGCCTGTGGTCGTGAATCACAGGCTGCCCGGGGCAGTCACAGCTCTTTGAGACTAAGGGGGGTCTCCACTTCAAGGACTGTGAAATAGGTGTGCCCAACACAACATCTCCCCCAAACATGGTCTTTCTTCAGTCTTCCCATCTCAGTAAATGGCAGCTTTGACTTTGGGGGTGCTCATGTCAAAATTCTTGGGGTTATTCTTGGCTCCTCTCTTCTTCTCACACCTCCATAACTAATCCGTCAGCAATCCAGCTCTTCCTTACCCTCAAAATAAACGCAAATGCAACTCTTTCTTACCACTACACCCTAGTTCAATTCAACAAAATGCCTTCTGACTGGTTCCTCTTATTCCTCCCTCCTCCTACTCTCCAGTCTGTTTTCAACACAGCCACTGGAATGATCTTTTTAAAACACCAACAACTTCTTTGTTCACGGTCTGATCCAGCTCCTGCTGCTTTCCTTGTGCCCAGTATGCCCTAGTCACATAGGCGCCCTTGCTGTTCCTCAGACAAGCCACACGCTCGTGCCTCAGGGTCTTTGTACTTGCTTTCCTCTTAACCTGGAACACCCCGTCCCCAGATACCTGTGTGGCACTCTCACTGCCTTCTCAATGCCACCTTGTTGGAGAGGTCTTCCCTGGCTACCCTATATAAGATGTTACATGCCTTCCTTTTCCTTTTTCTCTGCTTTATTCTCCATGGCAGAGAAAACTAACACCTCTTGAATATCTAGCATGTATCAGTCCCAGGACGAGGTAATTCTGTCCAGTATTTCATTAAGTCCTCATAATATGCCTGCCAAGTAGGTATTTGTACCTTCATTTTATAAAAGAGACAACTGAGGCTCAAGAGAGGAGTGAAGGATGATGGAAACATAGGAAACATCTCCATGGTTGACCTGGAAGATTAGTATGGATGTGTCCAGAGGGACTTTTTAGGAACTCTTGACCTTTTAGATATCTGAAGAAGATAGACATCTTCTCCAGCTTCTAGTGTTCACTACTAAGAAACGTAAAGTATCTCAAAGACTCTGTAGCAGCAACACGAGCCGTTTCACTGCTGGTGGAGATTAGTCACCATGTTTGGTCCAGCCTGGGTGCTCACTCAACAGGCATTCACTGAGCGGCCTGTATTACACACCTGCACACACAGGAGAAATCCAGACATACAAGGCAAACACCCTCCTAGTTTGGGAGACAACTTACGGCATATACAAAGATGTGAGAAGCAACCTAAGTTAATTTGAACCTATAGGAGGAACTCTTGAAATTTTGTGGAGTTGGTAGTTTCCCAATGAAGGCATTGCTCAAGGAGCACTGATTTGGCATTAACCTATCACTGTATTTCCCAAGCATGTTCCCTGAAACTCTAGTTTTATAGGTTCTTAATAGTTAGGTGAAACAAAAGAGTTTCACAATCATGTAAGTTAGGGTAACACAATATTAGACAGAATCCATTACTGAAAGACTTCTTGGAGTTTTAATGTGGTGTACATTGCGAGGGGGATACCCTTTGCTATCTTTCCCAAACTTGCTTCACCCTTGATCTTTCTGATTTACTGAACATCTTACAGGATTAATATTCTGCCTGAAAGAAACAAACCATGGTAGAAAACCCAGGTATGGGATGAGTAAGAGGTGAGAAAACAGGTTGCTGTTGGGATTATCCAAAAGTAAGATAAAGAGTACAGATTAGGGTAAAAGCAATAGAGTGGAGCTGGTTGCATTTAGAGGGAAACATCACAGATGTTGAAAATTAGAGCCAACTAGGAGAAAGTGATCTTAGGTTCGTTGAGTGCCTGCTCGGCACCTAAATTCAGAGGTTAAGTAGCTTATCCAAGGTTATGTAGCTAAGTGAGGAAATACAGGATTAGAATCCTTGTCTGTATGACTTCAGAACATCATGTTCTTATGAACGGTTTGACATCTAGGATTTGCTTCAAAATACTGTGGGAAGGAAGGTAGACAGGAATGTAGATGGGAAGAAAAAGGCCAAATATTGATCATTATTAAATCTGAATAATGGGTACATGGAGTTTAGTATTCTACTTTTGTATATATATGAAATTTTCCATAAGAACAAGTTTTAAAGGAATAAATAAATAAAACTCCATGTCCTTTCTGCTGCATTATACTTGAAAAAGTAATCAAACCATAATAAGAATAAATTTAAGATTTTACAGTCAGTAATCATGTTCCACGCACTGTGCTAAGCTCTTTACACGTATTTCCTCATTGAAACCCCAGTAGCCCTATAGGCAGATAGGAGAAGTGATAAAAAGAAAACTGTTTTAGGAGAAAGATGTTAAGTTCATGTTATATGTTAGTCAGTATCAAAAAAGCTTAATTGTCATCTTCAAAATAAATGCATGTGATTGTATAGCTATAGGTGATACTGAACAAGGATTTATTTAGTGATAGGCTGTGTCTTTCCTTAGGCTCTAAAGTTACCATTTAATGATAAGCAAAACGTTGATGTCATAAATAGATGTAAGCAATCCTCATTCTAGCATCCCCAGGAAGATTAATCCGTGTGATCTTCTTTGTTTTCCTTCCCATATCATCTGATCAAGAACTAAGTGAAGAACTTTCCAACAAGCTAATGCCGGGGCTACCCTTTGGCTTGATTAGGGAATAAATTATAGGTCATATTATATGGTGATGTTATAAGTCTCACGATCACATCCCATTCATTCTTACAGTAATCTTTGCTTTCTATCTGGATGTAGGATCCCAGGAAGCTTTGCCATTAATAAAATATGTAATTGAGGTTAAAGATGAGGTTTAAATTGTCCAACTTTTTTTTTTTTTTTTGGCTGCGTTGGGTCTTCGTTGCTGTGCGCGGGACTTTCTCTAGTTGCGGCGAGTGGGGGCTACTCTCCGTTGCAGTGCACGGGCTTCTCACT